CGTCACTGTTGGCCGTTTAAACGAAGTTCAACTTGACATAACTTAATTTTTCTCTGCTTTATTGTGTATTACGTTGTTTATTTCTTGTTTTGTAATCTGCTGTTATAATAAACCAATGGATATGTTTGAGGTAGTTAGTGAGGATGATGAGGAAATTGGCGAATTCCCAAATAATTCAAGTCCGAATCATTTTGAAAGGTGGATTAATGATGAATTTTTTGCCAGATTTCGGTTTTCCAAACCTTTTGTACGTAGGATAGTGGATTTAATTAGACCAGTTATTGCAAATCCGACCAATAGATTAGTTTAAAAATAATTACCTATTGGTAATAGATTTTAGTAAAATTCATCACATGTAACAAAAAACGACAAATTCATTTTATACTATAAAACAAAATACATACAAATAATTCCTCCTTAAAAGAGGTAAAGTTGGCAGAACGATTTTTATCCATAATAATTAATAATTATTGTTCTTTAACAATAGTAAATTGTTTTAAAGCACCCTTTCGCACAGATTAGAACTTTTTAAAACAGCACAGATAAATAAAACTCCAAAAGTAAACACAATATCCTTTTGTCAAAATGACAGTTTTAACTACTATTAATGTAGGCGTATACTAAATTCGGTTGTACCAACTTAATGTTGACACCGCTGATCTAAGTTCAACAAAACTGCTGTTGAGTCGACATTGAAAAACTCATTTGACTGTGAACTGAGTTCATTAACTGATCTAAGTTCCCCTGAACCAAGGTTTAAACCCTAATTGAAAAACCGGCCCTAAGTGACCTTTTAATAACACATTGACAAGTTGTGGCTTTATGACGTTTTAGTCACGGGCTGAAGTTAGCAACAGCTTTTTAGTGACAGGCTGAAGTAAGTTTTAAGTTAGTTGACAGTTGTCAAATGTCATACAGTCGTTGAAATAAATTGCCCAAATGTAAAAATTATTTTATTATCTTAATACAAAAGTATGAAAAAGTTTTTCAACGCCAATATTTAAAAAGTTTATATAAACATTATACCCACTGACTTTTTAATTTGCCGGCAGTAAACTAGATTTAACTTAATTTTAATTTAAATCATTTTTAAATAATAAAAAGTATAGTATGCAACTCGTTTATAACCTTTTCTAGATACACATTTAATTAAATTATATTCGTGACTAAGATGGGTTCCAGCACTTGACAAGGCAAGACGCATTGTAGCAGCTAGAGCTCTTAAAAGTTAAAAGTTTAAAGTTTAAAACCAACAAATAATTTCTCAAAAGTGCAAACCAATTATAGTGAAACAACTACAGTGAGTATAGACTACCCTACGGTCAAGAATGAGTTAAGAGTTAAGTGATAAGAAAGAGTTAAGTGACAAGCGAGCTTCTGGGTGGTCATTCCACCTCAACTGGGCGCTTTTCACTGGACAAACAAAACAGAACAAAACCAACAAACAATTTTCATAAAGTGCAAACTAAAATAGTGTAACGGTCAATAAAGGGTGAAGTGTTAAGTGATAAGAAAGAGTTAAGTGACAAGTTTCAGCTTCTGGGTGGTCCTACCACTTGTCATTGGACGCTTTTCACTAGACAAACAAAAGAGGTCAAACAAGAGGGGAAGTGGCCATCCTCAAAAATTATCCTCAAACATATGCATGACCCAACACATAATTTGCAAAATTAAACTCGACAGATACCTTTAAGACCCTAAGAAAGGCACACTGCTTAAACTCTAAAAATAAACAATAAACATCAGTAACAATAGAAACATTAGAAACACAATACTAACCAAACACCATAAATTATAAATAAAAAAGACAAACAACAAAAAACACAAAACTTCCCAATCGAACTATCGAGGTGATACACCAAAGCTGAGTAGGACAATAAATCTTCCAACAACAAATGCGTAAGGTATAAAACCCACTAACTTAAAGAACGGCCCCAACAAAACGTTAATTTTAACCCAAACGAGACCAATAATAAACATTTGAAATTTAAATATAAACTAACACTCAATAAAACATGAAAACCCAAACATAGTAAAAACAGCATACTAATCAAACTCTATTGGATTTGTAAACACATTAGATTATAACAGAAAAATTGTGCTTGTTATTTGTTTAACTAATAAATAAATGCAATACTTAATTTTGGAAATTAAAAAAAAAAAGATAAAACAATTTTATCACAAAACGTGCTTGGGAACACAATAACTAAAAAATTGTTAGAAATTTCCCACTACAAGTTACATATCCAACTACTGAACTATCTATTGATGGTTTTGGCCTCAAGACTGAAGACACATGTGCAGGAACAATCCTACTTGGACACGAATAATGACGATAAAAACGTAGACCAAGACGTAGGCTTCTGCAGCAAAATAATAACTCCCTCCATACAGTAATCCCAAATGTTTGGAGTTATACTAACTGCCTGGTCTAGGGGGGTACCGCGTCGTACTTGGATTTGAGTCGGCGTAATTGTCCCCAAAACCCCTGGCGAACCCAGGAACGGCTACTAAAACTATTGGCATTTCGCGCTAGAGCCCTAATTAGGGGACAGTACGGGACGCAATGGAGATTCGCAACCAGCAAACACGGGTGAAGCCGCGCCGTTGCTGGAGGCGAAAGAAAATGGGCGCAAGAAAATAGGCCAATGCGGGGCCCGGGAGCAATGAGGCAATGGGGCCGGTTATACTCATACTCGTGACTAAGATGGCGTTTATTAAACTTTATACATAATATACCATTATGTAAGATTGCAAATTATGTTTTAATTAGACAAAAAATGTTATTTAAATTAAATTTTAATTAACAAATATATATATTTGAGTCGTTTTACAACAAATTTAATACACTTATGGCATTACACAAAAAGGAAAGGAAATATAAACTAAGCTTTATGCATACAGTCTTTTATGGTTTAGTTTATATCAATTTTATTAACAGATAGTAGTATGGTACTGTATACACTCAGGGCCGAGCCTAGGGTATCTGCCGCCCGGGTGCAAGAATTAAATTTGCCGCCCCCATTAATGTAAAAAATTAGGTTGTCGGTAGGGAAGGAGTTCATAATTTATCATTCTCAATAAACATATAACAAATTTTATAGTAAAATAACAAAGTATTTATTAACAAATACATAAAAGAATAAAATAAAAATACATTCAGGAAAAAAAAACAAAAATAATTAAACTAAACTAAAAAACTAAAATCCACTTTTCTCGCTTTTTTAATAGCAAATTCACTAATCAAGACGCCTACATCCAAGTTGTTAGAAATATCTTCTTCAATACTTATAATTGCTAAATTTGAAAGCCTGAATTGACTTAAATTGGATCTTAAATAGGTCTTAATTAGTTTTAATTTCGAAAATGACCGCTCTCCATGGGCAACAGTAACTGGCATCGTTAAAAATATTCTTAAAGCTACAAATAAATTCGGAAAGATGCCTTTTAAATCATTAACTAGTTTTTAAGTTTAGCATTAAAAGACAAAAGAAACTACTATGTTTGCATCCTAATTGCCTTACGTTAATAGAAAAACTTAAAATTGCTGAAATACGCAGCCGTCAATTTGGAAGAAATTATGCTTTAACTTAACAGTTCAGCTTTTAAACAATATGGTTTCCCGTAAGCCCGCTTCCGTAAAACATGAAACTTGACGAACTCGAAGCGGACGGACGGAAAGCGAAGCGGGCGGGCGGTAATCTATAAACCGGGCTTTAAGAAAATTTTCATCATAATTTTTTGTGGCTATCGCGCGTTCGATTATGTCTTTTTTATCATTGCCGCCTGACAGCACAATTTTGGCAATGTTTTTATGTGTAAAATAAAAACGATGATTCCTTGAAACGCCGACATCAATAAAACGCAAGTGATTTTTAGAAAGTTTTTTGCATATTGCAAGGTGGCTTTTTTATTCTTGATAATTTGATACAATTTTTTTGATGATATTTTGCCGCCCTGTGTTAGTGCCGCCCGGGTGCGATGCACCCCTTGCACCCCCGGCACGGCTCGGCCCTGTATACACTGTATACTTTATACTTTATATAAATATACTATTGCGTTTTTCTTGATATCTTGCTTTGTTTAAAAGATATTAGGGAAAATAAGTAAAATTTTATAATCAAAATAATTTCATAAAATAGTTGTATGTTATTTATGAATTAATTAATTTGAAATCATACAAACCTCACGGGTTTCTTACAACAATAATTATTTTTGTCACATTAATATGTAGTGCCATAAAATATAGTGAGCAATTTTCTGCTCAATAAATATTATTTCCAATAGTTTATTGAGTAGATTACTGTTCTGAACATCAATGTTATATTTTCTCCATGAACAATAATTGTAATAATAATTAATTATTAATTATAAAAATAATTATTAAAAGTAGTGTTTTGATTGATCCAAAAGAATTTTTTACATCATAGGATATTTTTCATTTATTATTATTAGGTTTACCACACTGAGAGCATAGTTTAATTAATTAAATTAAATTAAGTCTTTGTTAGGTGGTAAAATAAAATGCAATGTCTAGAAAAAAAACAGAATTTTTTTCAGTACGCTTTAAATTTAATGTAACTATTAACTAACTTAATTACATAAAAAGGGTTTTTCTTAAATTAGTTAATATCATAAAATGATTATTGTGTTTAATATGACTTATTCTTCATAATGTCGTTTAAACAAATCAAGTCTTGATTAAGATATAAAAAACTCTAAAACAAAAGTTTCATGAAGACTAGGGAATCATGACTATAGTATACATGATCAGGAAAAACATAGTCACCCTGTATAATAATAAAAACCTAAAATACTTTAATAACTGTATTTTCTTTAAATATAAATGCTTGGGACCTAATTTACTATTTTACTTAAAAAAATTCAACCATCTAAAATAAACTACCCAATTTTTCAATAAACTACTGGCTCGCGAGCGCTGGTAAAATTTTGACGATATAAACCCTGTATATATTTTTAAATTCTAATGTTTTTCTTACCCATAAAAGCAGCCGGAATGGATGTAAGGAATAATTTTTGGCTTCTGACAGGAACGCCCCCATGTTCCGTGTCTTGCATCTCCCGCATCAGCCCCTCCATCTAAAAAAAGTAAAAAATGATTAAAGTAAAATTAACTTTTAGTTTTTATTATTTTATTATACGAGTAAATACTGCGCGTAATCTCTAGTGTAATACTATACTTTAGTCATTATAATATACGGAAAAATAGAAGTAAATTAGGGTGATTCATTCTAAAATAATATTTTTTTGTTTACTCCTTTAGCAAAATATTGATGAACAGGGTGCACCAAGTATTCTTTTATGTACGAGGTGTGTTCAGAAAATATCGGGAATTTTCGTTTTTTGAAACAAATATTTATTTATTCTTCTACATTAATGTTGTCGCCTTCAAAATAGTCCCCATTGAATATTATGCACATGTGCCAGCTCTTTTTCCAATACTCGAAACACTTCTAAAACTCGATCTTTGGGATAGCCTATAGTTCTTTCAGCGATGCGCTTTTAATGTCATCTATGCTTGCAAAACGACGGCCCTTTAAGGTTCTCTTTATTTTTCGGAATAGGAAAAAGTCATACAGAGGCATGTCTGGCGAATATGGAGGCTGGGGAATCATTACAATATTGTTTTTGGCCAAAAATTTTGTTCAAAATTTAACAATTTTAGAACAAATTTTGCTGCCACGCGTTTCATACCCAAAACATTCGAAAAAATTTTATGGGATGAGTTAATCGATATACCTACCAACATCATCAGCGACTTCTCTGATGGTTTACAACTATTTCTTCCACTTTTTCCATGTTTTTATCGGTTGTTAATGTGGTGCGTTCGGAGCGTTCGTCACCTTCAACGTCTTCACGGCCATCTTAGAAACTCTTATACCACTTGTAAACTCTTGTTTTACTTATAGCAGATTCACTATAGGCCTTTGTTAACATTAATAACAATGAAAAGAGGTACAGTGTTTTATCATACTTCGGGGGTATGTATACCAACATAATAAAGAAAATTTTATGACAACCGGACCCTCCAAACCCGCGAAATTTAACAATTCCCGTTATTTTCTGAACACACCTCGTATATTCTTTTTATTTAAAGAGCTACAATGTCCATTAAATAAGAAAAAAATTGCGTAAAACAAGCCTATAGGCTATAGGCAGCTCATAATAGGCTAATATATTAACATGAAATTTATAAGAAAAGCCAGCGGTTCTCAAAATATTTCAAATAAACTAAAATTAAAATCGTCATAACATTGTTATTCCTGGGAATTTTAAAACAAAATAAGTTTTACATATAAAAATAAATACATTTAAATCAAATTTCTCTGCTACTATATTTTGGGCTACCATCACAATCTTTTGTTTTTGTAATGGCCGCCATAACCATGTACAATTCAAATATGGGGGCCTAAGGAAAAACAAAAGATGGTAGTGGTATCTCAAAATCCAGTAGGCGAAAAAAAATCACAAATTGGATGAATATGTATATAAATGTGTATGTTAAACATACACATTTATATACATATTCATCCAATTTGCTATGTTTGCATGTAAAAGTTAACGAAAGTTATAACGATTTTTAGTTTTGACACTCTCTTAAACTGAAATAGTCAAAATTCTACTGTTTTAATTAGTTCAGCATTGTTTACTAATATAATAGTCATTTTTAGTTTTAAATTGTTATTTTTTACTACTTAAGTAGTGACTAATTTAAGATGTCACCATCGTTTTTAATTCTTGCGGCCAACAAAAAATTATTGTTAGTTCAATGCAATGCATGCTTGAATGCATGCATGAATGCATATAGGTTCTATGGTTAAATGGCCCTTAAAACAAACAAATATGCAAACAGTTTATCTCAAAACAGCAGCACAAAAAAGATATTTAGCTTTAAATATTATTAACAATATTTATATACAAATAAAACTAATTTCTATAAAAGTCACAGTAGAGCACAGGTGTGACATCCGCTTGACAAAAGACCGACCGGAGTTCAAACCCTGGCTGGGTTAATACTTTTTAAAATTTAAATTCATTTTAAGAGAGCAGGTTTTCATTTTTATAAATTATTTGAGACTGCTGATTGTTTTCCCGATTTTTTAATGCCATTTTAATAGACTTAATTGCAGAACTTTTGTCTAATTTAACCGACCTTGTAGGTCTACAAATAGATACCCATAGATAGAAGGATACTTGTTGCACCCTGTATACTTATATCGAGAGAAAAATTTCAGCCCTTAATCTTACCCCTGAATACTTTAATTTTTGATTTTAAAGTTTTTTCTACAACCGTGCGAAAAGTTGCGCCGAAGGCGAATGTCATAATGAGTGCAAGACATTAATTTGATTGGCGTGTTTATTAAAATAACAATTTGGTAAAATAATTGTTTATCATAAATAAGACTTAAGAAATAGATTTTAGAGGAACAGTTATTATGTCTGCAGTCCGATAAGGATGCATTGGTGAAGGTGATGACTAACGATCACCAAACGTAACCACGGTCTCATGGGAACGTGGAGGTAAAGATCAAAAAAATGTGGATATGTACCAACCCTCGAGGGGGTGAGAGCCAGTATTGTTAAACCCTTAAAAAAATATTTTCTACAAAAAGATTCTATGGAAAAATGCAATAAAATGCATAGTTTACTGTCAAATACTGCCAAGGTCATTAATTAAATGGCGCAGTCGTAAGTAGTTTTAAAATGTAAATAAATTAGTACATATAGTACAGTTTATTTTCCTATCAACAGTTTTACCACAAAATATTAAATTTTACCCCCTACATTTCCTAAACACATTTGTACAACAACCCATTAAGCAATCTTGATTTTAGTCCGCGAAAAATTACAAATTGCTGTTTATTATAAGTAGTATTTTCCACAATCATCGCCAACGAAATTTTACATATCTGGAATTTTGCCAATGTAACAACAATGCCCATTTCGAGAAAATATGTTTACCACCTCGCAACTCTTGCTTTTATTTTTGTACCTTAGGAAAGTCAATAATATATAATGGAAATGGAAATGCTCCTTTTAAATTCGAGTTGCTTTTGAAATATAATATGAATGTTTGACATTTGAAATTCAATTTTTCAAATATTCAAGGTTTAAATGTCATGGCTTTGTTAACATAAAACATATTAAACTTTATACGTTTCTCTTTTAAAAATTGACAAGGCAAAAAAATGCTTATAAACCAAATTATTTTTAAAAATAGCCCTAAAACAAAGATTAGAACTCAGAAAAGACTTAAGTATAACATTTATTAAAAGTAAAAATTGAGGTTAGGTAGCTTCAGAGCTACCCTAACGGGTTTTTTATTGACTAGGATGCACTGTTTAAAATATCTGTGGTGTAAAGAGTAATCTTAAAATGGTTTCAAACACCAACTGGTGTTAACATAAACACCATGAATTATGGTTGAAAATGTTATATACAGCAAACACCAAAACGGTGTTTATCAAAAAATATTTGAGATGTGCACCTACATAGAAAAAAAAAGGAATAGTTCATTTAACTATATTAATTTAGTTGACCCATAAGTATTTATTTAAATCAACTGTGGGAAGGTTAATATAAACAAAGATTAGTTTGACGGTACTAAACCAGATAGTTATTTTATTTTTTTTTAAATTGGTTAAATTAACCCAGAAAACTTTAGTAAAACAACCCGCTATATGGTTCAGTTTACTAAATATGTTATTTGTAAAATAAGAGTTACTTCAACCTAAAGCACTCTGTTAAAACGATTAAAATAATTTGCCGTGCATTCCTGGTTGCATAGTGTGTACCGATCGCGGCAAAGCCGGTGTGGATCACGTGTTCACATGTTCTTAAATCTCGCCTCTGTTGACTTACATGAAGAGTATATACGCTCAGGTAGTCCTTTGCTTTGGTGTGACAAGTTGTTCGATACTAAAGATACCTTAAATAGGTGGAAACAGCTGTCAATACTTGAAGTATTTTAAGTTGTTGAAACTCACTTAAAACATTATCTCTATCGAGTTGAAGGTTCAATTTTCTGGAATAATACCACTGGTAAAATACTAGTAATGCGTCAAGGAACTTCCTCTTTCCTTTTTTCTCCTTTTTTTCTGTGTAGTATGATTTAATTTGAAAAACACATAATATTTAACACTGAAAAGGAGTTCAATTTACACCGGGTAAAATTTATTTTAATACTGTGTGAAAGTTAAATGTACACTATTGTAATTTTTGAATTTACACTGGACCAACGAACCATATTTAACACCATTTTGGTTTGTATCGATATAGACCATGTATGGTGTTAATTTGGTGTTAAAATGGTCTTGAAATTTTGAACAGTGTGTAAGAAAACTTCACCTGATTGTTCCAAATTACTTTAACAGCCTAGGAGATAAAATGAATACTTTGGTAGTGAGCGTTGAAAATAATAGCCTAAATTATAGAACGCTTGAAGATAAACACTTTTAAACTTGATCCCTTTCGATTTGGCTAAAACTTGTATATGTTATATAGGATGGCATGAACGTTTCTGTACATTTTTTTACCCATGTACTTTTTTAAAATGGTGGCTTTTTAACCGCTTATAATTTTTTTAATAACTGAATGAATATATTTTTTTAAATCCTTTTAAATCAGAAAAAAAGTTATATTTTAGTAAATTTTTCAGTTTTTCTGAAAAAAAATTACTTTTGCCATTTATTTTTTTATTAAGAAAAAAAATGATTTATTCTGCGTTTAATGCCAAAAATTGCATAGTGGGCCAACACGATAGAGGTTAAATAAATTACTAAACGTTTTCCTACAAGCAGTTTTTAAGTTATTAAGCAATTTCCTATAAGATTTTTGGTAACGCTGTTTTTACTGTACTGTTTATCTAGGGTTACCATATTTTGTCAAAAAGCTAAAGTAGATTTTAATTACAAAAATGACACAATAAAATAATGTTGTAAATTGTTAATTTGTAACCTAAGTAATGTTGATTGTGTAATTTTTGTAATTAATATTGACATTTTTTAAACCCCCAAATATAAACCTTGAATCCATATAATAAAAAATCAAAATCAAGTATAGACCTTCGATAAATAATT